GTCACCAACACCAGCCAGGAATGTTTCACAGCCCAGGCTGACCTGGAGCACTGCAATTCCTGTAGGCCAAGCCGGAGATCCTCATCTCCCCCCGGCAGCACCAGCACCCCGGGACAGCAGGGACGTCCTGGTCGAACGGCACCGAGGGAGGGCAGCGCGCACGCGCCTCAGCGCAGGCGAGCCCCGCGCCAGAAGCATTACTCAGGTGGGGATTTAGCAAGTCTCCAGCAGATGTTGGACTTGGCCAGGCCTCGATTGCCTCTGTTCCAGCGTCAGCGAGACCTTCAGCACAGAGCGCAGGCACGCAGGGCCGGCCGGCAGCGGGGACGGCACGGCCGGGACGGGCGGGGCAGGCGTGCAGGCCGGACACAGGGACGCGCTGGCAGAGCCGAGCGACGCGGACGCAGGGAGCTGCTCCACTGCGGCCGCCTGCCCGGCCCTTTCGCACAATTTCACACTGCTGCAGGACAGCGGTCAGGACAGAGCCCAGAGTTCACCCTCGCCAATGCTCCACTGTGCTCCAAACCCAGGAACAACCCCCCGGTCCAGCTCCGGGCCAACCCTAACCCCACACCTTGCATCAGCACTGATTTGCTCAGCAAAATGTAAACAACAAATGTCCCCCTTCCAGCTCTGTCCACCCAGCTCTGTGGCACCCCAAGAAAGTCTCTGCAGGGATCCTGGCTCCAGCCGCAAACGCAGCAGCCCCACAGCCCTCCGGCTGGGAAAGGCCTCCAAGGAAGCAGCGCCAGGGGCAAAGGCTTCCTGCAGCTCGGCTCTGCGCCCCACGTGCCCCTGGGGCTGGCCCCGCTCACCGCTCCCTGGAGAGCAACCCACCTGGAGGGGTCCAAAGCTCCCTCACAGTAGAGAGTGCCTAAAAAATAACGCATTTTGCACCCCGACACTCGGACCTTGCTGGTATCCCTCCATTGGAGACCATGCAGTGTCCAGGCAGAGGGCTGCAGTCTTCCCTGCCCATGTCCCCAAGGGGGAGAGGCACCAGGTGCTGTTGCAGCATCTTTCGTCCTGCTCCACCTCGGGGAGGACACATCTGAACCCCAGGGCAGCTGAAGGAAGAGGTACCCCCATCCCCAGCCTCCAGAGCCAACCACTCGGCCAACTGATGGCAGCCTCAACTGCAGGGAGATCCCACCACAGAGCCGGCACCAGTCCCCAGCTCCCACTGGGAAGAAGGCAGGAGGGGAAGGGGGACCCGCAAGGCACCTGGGGACACAGTTCGTCCCGCACAGCGCAGAAGTGGATGGCCACGGGTGCTATCACAGTGCTCCCTGCTCTCGCTACCGGGGCTCACCTTGCAGCTGGGGAGCATCTCGAGCCTGCTGGAATCCCTGCTCCATCAGCCCACCCCAGCCGAGACTCCCACTGGGAAGAAGGCAGGAGGGGAAGGGGGACCCGCAAGGCACCTGGGGACACAGTTCGTCCCGCACAGCGCAGAAGTGGATGGCCACGGGTGCTATCACAGTGCTCCCTGCTCTCGCTACCGGGGCTCACCTTGCAGCTGGGGAGCATCTCGAGCCTGCTGGAATCCCTGCTCCATCAGCCCGCCCCAGCCGAGACCCCTCTGCCCAAAAGGGAGACGGGGGCTCAATCGGCAGGGCATTCCTATCCTACCCTGCCTGTGCTGCAGCTCAATTTTCCCTTCCTCCAGCCCCTGAAAACAAGCAAACTGGAGGTGAGGGTGGCACCGAGGCATCGCCATTCCCAGTGATTTCCCCGGGAGACCCCCTGGGAATCCACCTGCACCTCTGGTTTTAGGGCTACCTTCCCCTTGGGGGTCACCCCAGGCTGTTGGGCGCCCATCTAGCTCAGCAGTCCCTCCAAGCCTGGATGGGACCCGCAAATGGAGCCGAAGCTCCCAGGGAAAGGGCCCTCCACCCCGCACCAAGGGCTGCGGTGCCCAGCCGCGGCACGGGGGCCAGCGGCGACACGGG